GTTTCAAAATGATTGCATTTTAACTGAAATGAATACTGAACGTATGTCACTTTACAATTATTGACCAGGTAACGAATCTACGATGCAACTGTATGGTATCAAATTTGTCGGGCAATCGTCTCAAAAGTTTTCTGGAAAGCTTGGAGAGGGGAAAAAAGCTTCGATTGAATGCGAAGGCTCTGTTCATTGCTTCGCTCCCTTTCAGTAACTCAATAAACTAGAATTTCTTGAAATACAGTCGAAGCAGACAGGCAGACAATCAGATACGTTTAAATCGATTCAGAAAGTGGTTCTGACTCGATCGGCATAATAAAAGATGGATCTATCTCAAATACAGAAGAACGATAACAAAAAAAAAAAAGAAACGTAAATTGTGCCACAATACATTATCATAGTTAATAATAAACGAAAGTTCACTTTGGTCATAAAATTGAGCACAGTAAGTTAACAAACCTTGTAATTTCTTTGATTAATCTTATTGCACGAATTTACTTTTTCTTTTGCGTTAAAAGATTGTTTAGCAATAAAAATTTTGTATTTCTTGAGTGTTAGAAAACATTTGGCTTATTTTATAATTTAAGATTAAATTTTATAAAATTATATACATATTTAGTATATATACTTTAAGATTTTCTTTAGGAAAGCGTCTCTGTATTAAAAATTAGCGTAAGTAAATATCATAAAACTGTATTTCTTAGATGCACGATGTTCTCATCGCTTTATAGCAGCTAAGATTTGTAATACCCATCACCGCGGCATGAGGATAAACTAATTATATCATTCCTTGTAAATATCTAAAAATGATCTCATGATATACATTAGGTGTGCAAATAAGCTTCTACCGCTAAAATCGATTGCTTCATAAAATGTACCCGCCGCGTCCAATTTCCCCAAAATTTCAGGCATAGCTAACAGATAGATAGATAGTGTTTGAACGGCGTGAATTTTAGGTGTTTACAACATGTCGTTGTCGTATAAAGTATCTTAAAGCTTGAAGACATGAATGTCATGTTTTTCTGCAAAAAAAAAATGCTAATAAAATGCAGCTAAAGTTACGAAAATGATTGAGTTGGAAAGAAAACGATAGCAATTAGCTAGAAAACAGTTCGGTAGTAATTTGGAGAACTATGAAATTTGCATACGTCTATACGTCTCGAGTAAAACCAACTCCAGAAGTGGTTTTCAGCTTAGGCTATATAACTTTACTAGACCCCGTGGTATTCTCCAGACAAAGCCTACTACGATGTCCTTTTATACTGGTCGATGCAGTGGTATTTAGCAAGCCAAAGTTGAAGATGTGTGAAAATTATTCCATGAGTATTTTACTTCGGTATCACGAAGTTTATATATATTCGGGTTATTAAACTTTATAAAAAATATAGTTGAATTTTACCAGAAGCCAACAGGAATTTACTTGCGCACCTGTTGTACTTATATGTACACACAACTCTTTCTTTACATGATTTTAAAATAGCACTGTTCACCAATAAGAGAAAAAAAGAAACTTTTCATTTGAATTAAGTCCGACAATTATGCTAGACATACAAGATATACCTACTGATTCTTGATTTAGTTCGTAACAAACGTGCACGCCTTTCATCGAGCAGCGATTAATAGGTGGGAAACTGATTTTTATCCCTAATTTCAATTGAAATTTTCGCATGTTATATGTACTTATGGACTGAATTTTCACTATACACCAATTTTAATTTGGTTTTTGTCATAAAAACGAAGGGTTTTTGTGTTATGAATATGTAATATAGATTTTATTATTATTTTTTTGCGATGGTTTTTAAAAAAAAAAAATTGAGTTTTTTATCTCACATATTTTTTAAGGTTGTGGTATGCATAACCAAATTTACCATATGTATTTTTATAGGATTTTTCTTGTACGGATTTCTAATGAATGTATCTAACGTGTAAAAAAACAGTTGAGTATATATGCACGCTTTTTAGGTTTAAAGATATAACAAAGACGACCTCATTTTCAAACAAAATAATTTCTAACGGCACAATAAAGTAAAAGTCAAGAAACTTTACTTAAATGAAACGGATTGACTCCGCTCTTAGCCTGCTCATCTCCAGTTATTATTTATCAGCCGTGATGGGTGTCATTTATACGCCTTAAGGCGAACTTGAGATTCTTTATGTTTTGTTTTTTTCTTTTCATATATTTTCGCTTATTTTACTTGGATTTAATTTAATAAATTGTTGACTTTTATTTTTTTATACAATGTTGTTAAAAAAAAAAAATAAAAAATATATTCACTTTATCTAGTTTGGTTCCTTAATTTGCTTTGTTAGGTAATTATGTTTCTGTGATTATATTCGATATTGTTAAGCAGTTTATTGCGTCATTACTTCTTTATAACAACTAAGAATAGCCATCATAGTACAATGTTTTCTAATTAATTTATTTAATTAATCCAACTGTTCGGCTGGAAATTCTTCGTCAGTCACTTCGTCGGTATATATAAAGCTTTAAGAAAGGCTTGCTCCTGTTACAGATATTTCATATATGAATTACATTTGTTAGCTCTCTTAGTGGTCGGATATTGACAGCCGTTCAATGGTAATAAAAAAAAAAAAAATGTAAATAAATGAAAATAAAATAGCAAATATTATCATTAATAACTTATAATCTGCAACAGAAATGTCTTTCATATTTCTGGAGATGATCGAGAATCTTCGACTCGAAAAGAAAATGAAACCACTTAGCGTTTTGTGTAGCGCTGAAATTTTCGTAAAGACAAATACAATATCTTCCTCTCTTTTTTTATTGTTTCTTTACTTTGCTTTCCTACTAAGGAGTAGACAACAAAAAAGGAGTGTAACGTACAGGCCGTTTAACCATTTATATATTTTTAATTTTTTTTTTTTAATTGAAGACCAAGGTTTAAAATTGAATGTATAGAGTAAAAAGTAAACGCAAGTAAGAAATTATATACGGTCGTGATCGAATTTTTTATATCCACCACCGTGATCTTCAAAAAAAGGAATAGAACCAAATTTTCACTCTCTATAATATTGGGTGCACACTGCTGACTCTTTCCATTTTCAAAATAAAACTGCAAATTATTTATAGTGCATGCTTTACACTTTAAGAGTACCAAGTAAAAAACACGGAAAACAAAGGCGCTTACAGTTTTGATTGCATAGGCCTGTGGGCGCTATAGGCTTCTCCTTTGACTGGTTTGGGTCATTTTCTTTTCCAAATTTATAGGCGATACCTTCATTTTTGCGACAGATGAACGGGCGGACATGCTCACTTGCATTCCGAATGGACAAAAATTTATATACTTTATGGAATTATTGAAGCTTGTTTTTGTTCCTTTTAAAGGTTTTAAAAAAGAATGAAATTATGGCACTATAAAATTGACCAGGCACGTCTAATTTTGCCAGTTTTGTAGAGGTACTACAGAAATCGCCCATATAATATACGTTCAAATTTCTATAGATTCATCTGCTGCAGTTTTTGCGTAGTGAAAAAAAAAAGTTTTTCACATCTTTTGAAAAACGGGGGTGTTTTTAGTTTACGTGGTGCGGTAATCCGTCCTTTCGACGAATTTAGTTCATTTCCAATACCAACCTGCGTGCATGAACTTGCAATGTTTCTGCCAAATTCGACATCCAAAGTTTAATTTTTGGAGCGAGGAGGATGTTTACAGCAGGCATTGCATAGATGGATAGGCGCACAAATGGACAGACGAAAATGCTTAAATGGAATCAGAATTTGGTGCTGATAAAGAAACTTCTTTGAAACTTCCCTCTGGGCGTTGCACACGTTTTGACAAAATGAGTAAGTAGTATATCTACTTATTTTTCGGTGATGGGTACAAAAATTAATGGCTAACGAAATTATTTTGATCGTTCCATCGCATGGTTTGAGTGATTGTTATTGAGTTTCAGAAACTGAAATACCGTCAAAACAGAGCCCAAAGTTGGTAAAACTTTTCTACTCCGCATAATGTCAGATATACCATCTTTTACCGAAACCGAATAACCAAGTTGTTAAGAAACGAGACTATCATGTCGAGCATATGCGGGCTAAATTCTTAATGCGATACACTATGCTTTGGTTATGGTTAACACGCTGTCATAACCATATAGTGAGCTCTCGGTCGATAAAGGCATAACACCTGTCCGTCGAGTGTATACCTCCATTTCGAGGCCATCTCCTATCTCTTTCCTCCCACTTGCTAAAGCTTTTCTCTCCCACCCAATCTTAGAGTCGCCATCTTCGAATAAAATCGCATAACTAAACTGTTACGAAACGCGACTATCAGGTCGGACATACCGCGATTCATAGCGCGGTAGACCATACCGTTGTGTACGATTTGTGCGGGTTCGTAGCTATATGGTGAACGCTGGGTCGGTAAAAGCACAGGTAGTATTTACCGATCGCGGTCGCTTCTTATCTCTTTCTTCCTATTTATTTGTGAACATCACTGCACGAGAGACATCCAATAGAAAAATATTTTAGAAACGGTCAGCTGCTCTGCTATATGATTATATTATAATAATATTACGTTCTATAGAGCTTCCGCCAACTTGCAAGTTTTGTTATTATTAACCCTTAACACTTGAGTTGTTGTTATTCCATTGTACCGACATGTGTTTGCATAAAAGCTTTAAACGCAATTTCAGGAATCAATATATTTTATTTGATTTTACTTTACCCTAAGTAAGCAAAAATTAACATTTTTTTATTTTCATATATATACATATATATATGTATATAGATGAATGTCTACAAAACATTTTACAGAACCTTCGCTAAGAGAAAGAAACCTTTTTTCTTTTGTTTTGTTTTATCAACTGGTCGGTTAAGAGTTTCTCATAAAAATGATTCTTCTTTATTTGTTGTTTTTTTAGTATTTTATTTTATTTTTTTGCTTTTTACCCCGGTAATAGTTCTACTCAACTGAAATTTTTAATTAATTTTTCTCCTATTTTTTTCTTTTTATTTTTTTTATGGTAAAATTTGTTTTTCTTTAAATCTTTATCTTTTGTTCACATCGTTTATTATTTATTTTAGTTGTTGTTGTTGAAATTCAAGTTTTGTAAATGTTTTACAACGCTTGCAGATCTTCACAATGTTTAAATTTTGAATCCTCCTTACCCAGTATCCAAGTTAACATTTGCCTGGCCTTCATACTTGCCATCATAACGCTGCGACTCTTGTACCAATGAGCCGGTGATGATGAACTTTCATTGTTACCCTAAAAAAATTGCCGGAAAACAATTAAAAACAGTCGCTAAAGAACTGAATAATAAATGGGAGATAAATTAAAAAAAAAAACAACGGATTAGTAGGAACAAATTTTCATTGCCCACTACTTATGTTAATGAATAAATAGTAATAGTAAAGCTTACGACAGACATTATTAGTAGCGAGTAGATTTAGTTCTTCAGTTGACGACGAATAAAACTTGAAATCAACATTTTTATCTGTATCTCCGGATTGCCTACTTTTTTAAGCTACTATGTAAGTTCTTATATAAGCATCATGCACGCTTTATGTTTTATGTGCCCATTATATGTTTTATATGCATACTACGTAGGCTTTGTCTACAATGCGTCTGTGGGCAGCAAAAATTACTTCTGTTTTGTCGTTTTAATGTTTTTGTTAAATACGGATCTATAATTTTTTTCCTCAAATCTGAAATAAAAGTCTTATTTCCTTGCAGCAAATGATTATTTTTTACTATTTTCGTACGCATGTTTTTATTACATCAACCACTGAATGAAGAGTGTAGACTAGAACTATTCTTCTACGAGGAGCATCCTTCACCTACCTTAGCAAACAACTATAAACTGTAGTTCATAGAAAGTACCGATCTACAATTAAAGCACATAAGTTTAAGAAAATTGATTAAAACTTCAGTAAAAAACAAACGCTTTACGGCCATAAATACACCTACACATATAGATATAATTGGCTTACAGCTTTCAGTCTATAATTAAATAAAACTATTTCCTAGTTTTACTTAAAAGTCAGTAAATAATTCGGATTGACGAACTGGCACACCCACATTTTAAAATTTAGTTTTCAATTCCATATAATTGTTGGATATTCTCTAGCGCTAATCTTTCTTTCCCTTTTATTTCCCTTTTTCCATTTCACATTGCAAACTATTGAAGTCAACCGCTTAGTTATATTGAAAAGTGCATGCAAACATTCGCACATTATGGGATATTTTTTTCAAACGTTGAGTCCGGCACATTTAAGATCTATTTGCGATTGTTTGAGTTTTCCTGATAAATAAATACCTGAGCTCATATTTTAGAAAACTCTGATATTAATTAAGCGCAAACGTACAGAAGGAAACCTTTGGGAAGCGGACGTTGGCCACAACGTTTACGTAAAAATTTATATAGCTTTCATATAAAAACTGACAGGACAGCGCGCGTTACATGAAGACTCACTACACTTGACGTGCACCAAGCATGAGAACGAGCACGAGAATTGAAGAAAATCTTAACTTATTCTATTTTATGGGATGAATAGAAAGGAATGCACACTTCTGTTAAAAAGCATTATATCAAAAATCCCCTAAGTGATGGATAGAGAAAAAAAAAAAAAGTAGTAAAAGCTCATGTTTTTAAATAAAAATCAACAGGATGAAGAGATCTTCGAGAGTTTTTGCATGGAATTTGTAAATGTGAACATGCATATTAGCACACGTAACGTATTCGTCAGTAAGTCCCGGTGCATACATATAGACTTTTTGTCTAAAAAAAAATCTAAAGTGGCAATCCTCTCACACACCTGCTAAACTTTCATTTCATTTTCATGATTTGTTTACCAGTTGCAGCAACTTTGAACGACCGTACTTTTGTTATTTTCAGAACAATGAAACATCCGAATTTTACGTGTTGATTAAACATTACTTGTTGATAGGTGAAAAAAGGCATTCAACTTAATATTCTTTGCCGAAAGTAACAATTTTTCGGCGCTTTGCTTATTTTAAAATAGGTGGTACGGACACAGGTGAGGGTGAACGCAGTGAAAACATCAAAAAAGTCTTGGAAATTATTCTCAATAGTTGATTTACAAGAGATATCTCTAAGCCATTGTCTACACTATTAAGCATTAAAATTTAAGCATGAGAAGGACATCTTTCAAACGAGTACCGCGCTTACTCGCGCTGTAACAAAAACGATGTGTGACAGCTCGATAGGTATAATGGCACAGTATTTTTTTTCTTTTCTGACCAAGCAGTAAGGGGACATCTCCGACACGCCGTAGCGCTGTGATGGTCAGAAAGAAGTAGGGAAAGGTAGAAAGAGGCAGAGAGCGGCCGCAACCTGAGAGATGTATACTCGATCGACAGGTGTTATGCCTTCACCGAGAGACCACTCATTATAGCTGCGGCTACATCCCTATCATGCTTGACGTGTGGTTTAACTCACTGGGTTGAACTTGAAAACCGAGCTTCGTAACTACATGTCTATGTGGTAGACATTACTTGCGAAGGGCCAAGAACGACCAAACCGCTCTGAGGTTTGAATCCGCGAACACTGCCTTGACAGTCGCGATTCATATTTACTCTGCTATGCAGCAGTTTAGTCGCGTCCATTCGTGACCCATCCAACGTTTTAGTCCATAACGACTGTTATCTATTTGCAAATTTTAAAGGGGTGCTCGAGGAAAAACGAAGGGAATCAAATGATGAAGTCATAGTGAGCACTGAAGTGTTTCATAGATTCAAGTCTAAAAAAGAGTGTTGTAATGTTAGCGAGATGTTAGAGAGGTTGTTATGGTTCTGAAGGAGATTGTGTTAATAAATAAAAATGTTGTTTTTTACACAGTTCTGGGAATTATTGATCGATGTATCAAGTTTATGTACGAACGAGGTTTATTCGTGTTCGTATAAAACTCCTATTTTGTGGATGTGGTTTTGTTGCATTACTTTTATATAAAACTGAGCGCATTTAGAAAAGTATATGATATTTATTTTCTTAGAATGTTTTAAAAAATGATGTTTGACACGTTATACTTATCAAAATAATATTAATGTCGGTCTGGCAAGATAAATGAATGATTTAACTATAAATTTCGTTTTATTTGCTGTTTCGGTATACAATAAATTAAAAGAAGATGTCATATATATTAAGTTTAAAAAGGTCAGAAATTTTAAAAAGAAGGAGAAAGTAAAGCGTAAATAAAGAGGGAAAATATCAATAGGTGACTTAACATTTACTTAAAAAGGAGACTTTAATAAATACATTAAACGGGATGAATAGAGAGGGAGAAATATTCAATATGAAGAATTAATATAATTGGAAAAATTTATTGCATATATTAAGGGAGCTTTTAATAAATGTTTTGATTGGGCGAACGAAGAGAGAGAGCAATATTTCAATGAATATCGGGCGTGAGTGTACATATAGAGAAGAATCATCTTGCACACTTTAAGGAAATCTTTAATACACATATATTGCGTATACAGTTAAGATTTTTTTTTTGATTACATCATAGTTGATAAAGAAGAAATGATAAAACATTTAGTTTTATGTAAATGCATACTTTTTTGTTTTGGGAAAAACAAAACACACAAAAATCCATTTTATTGTTCTTTTACGTGTTGTTAAGGTTTTATTTACTCACCATTAGTTCGGAATTTTTATCAGTTATACACTTATCGCCAAGTTCTTGATTATCATGATTTTTAGGGTGATCATTGTGTTTATCTTGTTTGTTTTTGTTTTTGGATTTTTTCGACTTTGGCTGTGTGTGGTTAAAACAATTCAGTTGTTCATTTTAATTTGTAATAATTTTTTTTGTTCGTATTTTTTTAATCGTTTTTGAAGTAAACCACACAAATGAGTGAATGATAAACATGAAATGAAATTCGAAAAAAAAACGAAAAGCGAGTGTTAAGTTTCTTGAAATTCAATACAAAAAAGCGAAAATATGAAAGCACAGGAAAATATTTCAATATGCAATCAAAACTCATTTACTGTATCATTTTTTTAGGTAGGCAGCCTTATACTTACTTGCAATAGATTATGGTGCTTCTTCAAACGTATCTGCGTTAAAGTACCGGCCAGTAATTCATCACAATTATGGTTAATACCCACAGATACTTCAATAAATTTAGCACCGAACGTACAAGCCAAACATTTACCATCTATTTGCAGGGGAACCAAAATCGTATAAATGACAAAAAAACAAAAGAAAAAAACGAAAAATGAAATAAGAATCAACAACATTTCCACAAAATTCAGTATACACGATGCAGTGCTATTGTGCGAAATTAATACTTCTGGAATCGAATAAAATCTCTAGTGCCTTCTTTGTTTATTTTATAACATTTTTATTTTTTCTCTATTGTTTTTTTAATGTAAGCGCTTGATTCTGAATATTAATTTTCATATCTATTTTCACATAACTACGAATATTTATTTGCATATCATATATCGTATACTCACTCACCTTGAGCGGAAACTGCGCGTGATCGCGCCAAATCAATTTTGTTTGCTACAAGTATAATTGGTCGCGTTCTCAGTAAATCCATATCTTGGAGACGTGACATTATTTGTTTAGAGCGCGTAAACGATTCTTTATCCACGCAAGAATAAACAACCAAAAATGCATCAGCCTTTTCAAGTTCATCCTTTTGAAATGAAATAGCAATTATTATTATCATTTCCTTTTTTTTTTTGAAAAATTAATATATTGATTGATTGCGCTTTTGAAAAAAGTTATAACAAACAGTGCACATATATGTAGAGTCGATTTCTTTCACCCTGCTCTCTTTGCGGTATAAGGGTATTTTAAACTGATGCGAATGTATGTAATACCCAGAAGGACTTGAGATACTTTTCAGCACTACACTTTTAATTATCACCATTTTATAATCTTGTCTGTCCACCTGTACGTCTTGTTTTCTTGTATCCAACCTGCAGGTTGAAATTTTTGAGATATTTTTATGAAATTTGGTACACCGACATGTTTCAGCCCAACAACGAACACTATTGAAAATGGCTCGATTTCTCGGCCACTTTTGACTCAATGTCTTAGTTTTAAAAAACTTTTATGTGCACAACTATATTAATCGAAGTGGTGTAGGGCATTTAATGGCAGGCTATGGCCCATTATAATGTGATACATTAGTTTTTTTAAACTTACTCCTACATATCAAAAATCCTGCACATATATTTCTACTTATGGTGGAAAGTACACGTAAGGAGATTAATGCTTTATGTTCGTAAGTTGAAAGTTTGAAGCATTTTTGATTAAGCTATTAAAAACATACTGTTCCGATAAAAACAAATAAAAAAATTATATTCGACTTCAATTGAATCTTTTACAGCCACCGCCTTTACTTAAAGAGAAAAAATTAAAAAAAAAGTAAATTTTAATACTCTATAGGCTATTGGGACCGTTTGGGTGCTTCTGTCCATTTTTGTACACAAATCGGTAAATTTTTGTAGTTTAGGTTCGTTGAAAATGCGCCAGCATTTTTATTTTTTTTTCTTTGTATATGTTTTTCGTGAGTGAGCAAAAAACTTAGAAAGCAGATATTCTCTCAGCCTGTGTTGTTGCACTGTAGGCATGTTTTTAAACCGATTTTGGCCAATTTTTTAACAATAGCCTGTTCGCAAGAACTTCTAATGTTTGTGCTAAATTTGATAGCGATATTTTCATTTTCCCGATCATCGAGTTTACATTGATTCAGAAGCTCGACATCGATTAAAAATATACATACAAGAAGATCGCTTTTAACATTTGCAACTACAGGCATCACATAGACAGAACAATTGGACAGACGGATTTTGATATCGATCATAGCGCATTTGATGCATTCTCAAAAAAGCAAGTAAGACACATTACGTAAGAGACATTATAGTCAGGAAAGCCCGCCCCTGAAATACCCTACACCAATTCCCTTACATACTTACTTTGGTAATAAGACCTCAAAAAGTACACATTATTTTCATGCAAAGATGACCTTTTGATGGAAGCCCGCAGATTGGCGGATACCCAAAACATCATATGACGTTATCCAAATTTTGCAAACTTAATTTACTTTCCAAAAATTTTATTATTTTGCGTGTACAAAAAATTACCCCAGTCGAATAAAATTTTCATAAATTAAGAATGTCGAAATACTATTATGCAACGAGTTCTGTCGAACAATTTTTTCAAAAGAAAGGGTTATATGGGGAGCAATCAAAAAATGAATCAAAATGAACCCGAAATGCTTTCAATGGTATTCGTCCCTGGGTCGAAACACGTCAGCGTACCAAATATCTTCAAGCCTGTAGATTGAACACAAATTTCATGGACACGTTAGATGGACAGATAGACAGACTGGCTTAGCTCAGAAAATGATTCTGAATCGATCGGTATAATAAAAGGGTCTGCCTCCTGGGTATTACATACGTCCGCACATACTTTGTATTACAAGTGATGTAGCGTATAATGAATGTGAATTTTCCACTTTCGCACAAGCATAGGATCACCTATAATGTATACGTGAACATTATTGTCGTTGTATCTGTAACGTGAGTAATGAGCAGATCCACAAAATAGAGGTATTTTCAGTTTATGAGTTGTAGCAGGAGTGTCCCTTGACCGAATTTGTTCACCTGAAATACCAATCTACTTGCAAGAATTTTCAATGTTTTTGCTTAATTCGAAAGATTGGGATATTTAAACTTCCGCGACCCCAATCGAAATTTCATAGAGCGATGGACTGATAGATTGAGGGACGGAATTTGATATGGAGGTAGAGTATACATACGCATATTTTATGAAATCGCGTGTAGAGAAAATGAATACACTCTTTTTCTTTACCCGATTGGGTATGAAATCCGAATTTTTTTTCTGTCAGTTTATTCGGAAATTTATTATTATATCATATTTTCTACAAGTAAAGATTTCGATTTTCTTCAATAATAATAATTTTTTTTTATTTTTTATCTTGTTTGGCTTGTAAAGTTTCTGGAACTGTTCCTTTTGTGATTGCTTTTGTTGTCGTCTTATTTGCTTCCCTTGTTTCTTGTTATTTTAGTGTTTTTGTAAGAAAATAATATTTTCGTTTTTGGCTTTAAGCCAAATAATAATAAGTGAAAATGCATAAATGTACATCTTTTGCCTTTGTTCATCAAAAATGAACCCATCTATAAGTTTAACCGAATATATGTGTTCAAAGCAAGGCAAGAATTGCACACTTTATAGCTGTCGTGAAATACTTTAATTTAAACAATAAGTAATTGTTAATGACGATAACATTGTCACGCTGTTGTGAATACACAAATTTTTGCTCTAATTTTCCTAAAGAATTCTTATGGAAATCAAGTATTAAATGTTTAGTATGTTGTCCTTTTCTCAAATGTAAACTTTTTTCATAAGTTTTCATAATTGCTTTAGCGTTAACACCTTTTATTCTTTAATTTATTTCTTTTTTGTTGATCTTTTTCAAAATTATTTATTCATGGACTTTTTTTTGTTGTTGCTTCTTTGAATGTTAACATTTTAATTACTTAAATTTCTCATTTGAAAAACTTTTTTCTGTTTTTTCTTTTTTTTTGATACATTTTCTGTTTCACGTCACACAAATTATTTTTAATTGGAATGATTTTACTATATAACTTATATATATGCGTTTTATACTTGAATTGCTTGCTTACATAATGAAATTGTTTTTTTGTCCTTTTTGTTTCGCTTACCTTATTTTCTTCTTTGTTTATGCAAAATTTTAATTCTGATTCAATACCATTCAATATTATTGAAATATTTTGCTCAGCTTCATCACATTCTGCAAAATGGGAGAAATTTTCATACATAAGAAAAGTTTTGATTTAATTACACACTACAATGATTGTATAATTTTGAGCTTGGTTTTTATAAATAGCATTAAAACTGTCCTGTCTTATGGAGCTCCTGAATTTGTCTCTTCGCGTTACACAATAAAGCGTAAGAGACCTGAATGCAAGCAGGTGAAAATGCAATATGTGTTGCAACAGTATGGTCTACATTAAGTGAAAACGTTGCTGTGTGCTCGGTGCGATTCCAAGGGAACTATTCGCTTCTAGCTATTTATTCTCACAACACTCAACAATCATGACAAGGATTTACTGCAAGCAATTCACTATCTTCGATGGGACCGTTTGACAAAAATAGCTAGAGATAAAAACAAGACCGCAGTCGGGAAATTCCCCACTCACCATATTATCTAGACATTGCGCTTTCTGTTTATCTTCCAGAATATTTTGAGCAGCCAAAAATTCGGCATTGCAGGCAATGCCATTCGTGACATGATAAGAATGAAGAGAAAGAAAAAAAGCTGGTGGGGAAAAAAGTAGAAACGTAACTTGGTAGATCGTTCGGAAACAATGTCCGAGAATTCTAGAGGACAATACGGGTTATATCGTTAATTAATAAACTAAATTAAATTTTTTTAAATGTCATTTGACGATATTGTTATAAAATCCGCTTTTCTAAGATACAGTCTGTACACTGGATCGTGGATATTTTGTTCAAGAGAAATACACTTCAAAGTTCTTTTATTTACAATTATATTTCTTAGATGTAGGATTATTCACAATTTATTTTTGGCAATACTTTCGACAGCCCAACTCGGAATTCTTTTTCTGCTCATTCTCCCTTCCACAAATATTCTATTGATGTACATCCTTACCAGCATAGTACCAGCACCTAATTTTATAGCTTCATTTTTAATTCGTTAAGCTGCTTTTCTGGTACTCGTTGCATTTAGTTTAGTTTTTCCCTCTTTAGGGATTTTATTACTTAGCTGGAATAAACTGGTTTTGGGGTTTTGCGTAACACTACCCTCCACTTAATCTTGTTCGTCCCGAACAAAGTCGTTTCGATATGCGGTCAGTCGGTCCAGGTGTACCCCTTTGAATCTACTTCTGCCTACGGGATGTTTTCGTATTCGATAAACCACGTCATTTATGCTTGTGAAGATTTTGTAAGGACCTTTCTAGTTACATCGCAGTTTTGGTGACATACCTTTTTTACGTAAAGGATTGTACAATAACAGTAGATCCCGTTCCTTAAGTCCATCGGCGTTAGCTCGCAGATCATATCTTGGTTTCATTCTGTCGCTGATGATTTGCGTTCTATCTCGAACCTGTCGGTGCATGTTATCTAATATCACCCTCAATATAACAACATATTCGGTCTCGGTCCTTTGAACATTAGAGGTTTTCCCGAATTTCAAGTCTGCAGGTAGCCTCAGGTTAGACCCGAACAAAATCTTCGCCGGGAGTAGAACAGTGCACTGCTGACCTGTATGCCATTAAAAAGATTGGTATGTGTTCATTCCAGTCCTGCTGATTGTCGTCGATCACTTTCGCAGATGTTCTTGGAGCGTTCGATTAAACCTCTCAACCATTCCGCCAGACTGAGGATGCAACGAAGTCGTTCTAGTTTTATTAATGCTAAACATTTGGCAAACCTCTTGAAAGATCGAAGATTCAAAGAGTCTCCCTTGGTCTGAATGCAGTTTGATGGGGGTTCCAAACAGCGTAACCCAATTATCGACGAATACATAAAATTTTTTTACTACACTATAAATTTTCCTCCTGGTACTGGATAAGCTAAAATAGATGCCGCGCATAACAGCTCTTTCAACTGCGTGAAAGCGCGCTCTTGAGACTCCCCCATATGAAGGATCGGTTATTCTTCGTAAGTTCATGCAGCCCACTGGCAACCGTGGAACGAATTTGCGGTAGTATGAACAAAGTCCTAGGAAACTGCGAACGTCATGCAAATTGGTGGCCATTCTTTTACTGCTCTGATTTTTTCTTCACCCGTGCGAACCCCAGTCGTGAAGACCTTATGCCCAAATATGTCACTTCCTTCACAAAGAACATACATCTTTCAACACTCAATTTTAAACCTACTGCCCGTAATCGGGCACATCCGCCAGATTTTTTACCCATGACAATAATGTCATCCAAGTACACCAGGCATGTGTTCCAGTGCAACCCTTTTACCACGCAATTCATTGCACGCTCAAATGTGGCAGGCGTATTGCATAATCCAAACGGTATTACGGTAAATTGATAAAAGCCGTCGCGGAAAACGCGGTCGTTTCATTGTCGCGCTCGGCAACATCCACCTGCCAGTACCCACACTTCAAATCTAAGGTTGATAACTACTGCGAGCCTGACAATGTGTCTAAGGTGTCATCGATCCTCGGCAAAGGGTAGCTACCCTTTTTGGTCAACTCGTTCAGTTTCCTATAATCCACACAAAATCTGGTAGACCCATCTTTTTTTTAACAAGAACTACTGGAGAACACTAAGGGCCACTCGATAGCTTTCCGCTCTTGCATATCTTTGATCAAGTCCACCACTTCTCCTCCTTTTGCTAGTGGAATTCTTCTAGCAGTTACCGAATCGGATCAGTGCCTGCAATGTTGACTATGGAGCAATTTTCCAGCAAAAACTTTTTGGCATATTTTTTCTGCTGCTCATCTGGATTGCTAGTCCATCCTTCTATGATAATTTCAGCCTCTGGGGATATCTTTGAGGACGTTTTTGGTATTTCGATTTGATGATTTACCACATATTCGGCTTTTTGGCATTGCGCTATAATGTCCCAGTTGTGAACTTTTGTTGTAACGTTTGTCGGGTTTAATACTCATACTAGTATTAGATTGTTGACCGGTGAGACAACCGCTTTTCCAATGATGATGTTGTCTTTCGTACATTTTTTATTTGGCTCGACAACCCATATCCTGCTTAGTCTTAGCTCTTGGGTACCTGTGGCCCACACTATTCCTTCGGAGTTTTGAGAGATCTTCTGTTGTCGTTGTACTGCAAATGGTAACACTTCGAGTTGTCTGTCGTATCCCACAGTCAATGGCAAAGTTACATTTGCGTATTGTAACACTTGCCTTTTAATATCCAGTACAAAGCCGTGTTTTGCCATAAAATCCTTCCCCAATATTATCTCGTCCATTATATCTGCTACCAGAAATTCATGCTTCATCGAAACACCGCTAATCTAAATGTTTCTCGTAACTTTACCCTTAATAGCAGCTTCCTCACCTGTTGCCGTCCGAAACCATGCTCCAGCTTGCGGGTCGAATTTTCCTTTGACTATTGTACTGTTAATAATTGAATGAGAACCCACAGTGTCCAGTGTGATGATGTAGTTACAGCCCTGAATCTTCCCATCGATCGTTAGGCTGCTGTTACTTCTCTTTGATTGAGTAATACCTACTACTAAATTTCTGAGTCAGCCGTTGTCCCGCTATGCTGAGCCTGTTCGTTAATTCCGTGTAGGTGATGTGGAGTGTGTTCTTTTGTGTTTTGATCGAAATTCCCGTGCAAAGTGACCAGGTTTTCGGCAGACATAACACTTGCCTGGTTTTGAAGCCGGCATTCGCTTATTTTCGCGCAGGACTTGTCGAAGCGCCCCGCAGACCACATCCGAGATATCGTTGGCGCTGGTAACTTCCGTGTGTCTCACCTTTATGTTTGACGTCTACAGCACACTGTCTGCTTCTTGTGTGAGCGCGAAGCCAAGAGTCTCCGTAAACGTCGTTTCAGGTGACGCCCATACAACTTTTGTAAGCTTCGCGTCACGAAGTCCTTTAACAAAGGCGTCGATTTTTAATGTTTCCAGCACGTCGTTGGGCACACGGATATAGGCGAGATTGGCCAGCCGTTCGATTTGGGTAGCGTAATCTTGGATCCTTTCGTTCGGCTTGTAGCAGCGCGAAGATAACGATAAGTGGCTTACCTCCTTCACATGTTTACTACCACATTTCCTTTCCAACGCGTCAATAACTGCAGCGAATCGTATTATCAACTTTTCTTTCCAGCAGATTAACTTGCCTTCGAACTGCTGGTACGTTTCGTCTACATGTGGTTGCAGGATGCGTTGATTTTCTTGAACTTTCTCGATCCTTTCCGTCGTCAATTTTTGATTCTATCTGTTGCGTTTGTTGTTGCATTAGTTATATAAACTGCATAACGTTTGATATACTTGCACCATCTTCGCCTTTTTCTTCGTTGTGATTTTCCCCTGCTGTAGCAGTATTTTGTATTCTTACCAAGTTGTCGGTTTGCTCCCTTCCCTCGATATTATATTCGAATTCAAGTATAGACGGGTCCTGTCCGTCTTTTTCTAGATCTTCAACCAGTCTTTGTTTTAATTCAGCTTTGCTACTTTGCTAAGACTGTGCGAAGATTTCCTTTTCCCAGTTCCTCTTTGAGATGATCCACATTGTGTTCTTGTAATTTTACCATTTCTCTTAGTTTCCAAGATCTCACTTCTGACGCTAGTTGTTATAAAATTCGCTTTTCTAAGATACAGTCCGTATCACTAAATCGTGGATATTTTGTTCAAGAAACACGTCAAAGTTTTTTTATTTTCAATTATATTCCTTAAATGTGGGATTATTCACAATTTATTTTTGGCGATACTTTCGACTGTCCAACTCGGAATTCTTTTTCTACTCACTCTCCCTTCCACAAATATGCTGTTTACATCCATCAAATATGCTGTATACAACCATCTGACATAAAGGTTTAAGTTAATAAAATTGCAATGTCGAATATGATACTTAAAAAATATTTTGAGTACACCTAACACTTTTTTACTCGATTGATGTGTTTCCAAAAATATCATTCAAACAAGTTCGAGAAAAAAAAAGATATCGACTAAATGGAGAAGTAGTAGATTCCTTTCCAGGCTTTAAAAAGCAATTCAAAAGTAAAACAAACAATATTTAAAAATCTCGTCAGATTTCATTTAAGAAAATTTTTCGTGCTTACACATTTTAATTTATTAAGTATATTATCAAAAATAAATTTGAAAAACGGAACTGAATTGTGTAAAAAATTTGACTCTATGCGTAATTTGGGGAATTCCACTTACATGCGAATATAATCGAAATAATATAAGTGAATTTTGAAAAATATAAGGAGAAGTTAGTAGTTTATGACAATGAAAAAATTCATAGAAACATCAAAAAAAAAAAAAAATTGATCAGAAAAATTGATTAAAATAATTCATAAAAAAGAATCGTAAAATATTGAAAAACAAAAGAATTCGCTGCAGGTTTTCCAGAATATTTTCAGCGATTTAATATACAACATCCGATTTTACCTCATTATTTTACCGTTGACCTCGATTGTTTCATTCTAAACGTGGCCCACATTGGCTCATTCTGGTATCTACAAGTAATAAACTATTCTTTAAATGTGTTTGGCGGGTATGTGCTTTCTGGATATTTCGGACTTCAGTTCGGATTAAAGTTTCAATAATTTTTGGGAAAATTAGATGTCCATAGTATATCTGTGAATACATCTCGAAACTATGTGGGTAAAAACTATTTGCTTTTTCTTACGAAAAACTTTGAGTTTAGTTATCAGCACAGTCTCCTTGAAGAGCGATACAATCTTTTTGGCGTATCTCTAAAATTTTAATGCTTTCTTTACACAACGGTATGATCCTCAAAACACGCTTCAAATTGCACAATAAAGTCATCACTTGGTCAACTTCTTTGTCTGGAGTTATTGAGAATTCTTCATTTGAAATTTTGCGATAGTAGTCAGCGATGTGAGTGTTGATATTTCTGTTCTACATTGTGTTAAGCGTAACAGCCATTTGGAAAACGAGCTCTCTCAGACTGCAATTTGCCTGGAAAATAGTGAACACAACGACTTTCGATGTTCTTGGGATATCAGGGATGTCCTTTCGATTTTCGAATCTTATTTGACGGTCAATTGCCCAAGCAGCGTCACTACTCTCTCCGCACGAGTAAACTGTTAGTTTCGATGGGGTAGAATTGCTAAGATACTTCTCAAGCCTATGCTAAGTTCAACCGGTATTTTTTGACATTAGAAAGACTATTAAATTAATTCGCGAAATTTTGATTTTTCCATTGTTTTGAAAATACTAGCGTCACTAAAGTCATCGACCAATCATGGTGCAAGAATTATGGCGTTTTAACTGTCAGCAGCAACTAATAAAAACTTTTCTTTGGGGTCCCATGTATAATTAGAAGTCATTAAAAATTTTTGAAACATTATACGCTATGTAGAACATTTTTAAAAAAATTATTGAATGTATACACAATGTTTTGATGCTAGCCTGTATATTTTTTTGATCATTTTAGATCCCTTCATCTTAGTAATTTTTTATTTTATTTATTTTTATTTATTTTATTTATTCCACTTATACTAGAAACTCAACTAAACAAATAACAGTCGAGTTCAATTAGCTCTTAATGCAAAACTTATATTAATTAACAATAAAATTGAGTATAAGCATAATAAAACAAATAAGAAGAAAAAAAAAAAGAAAAAGAAAAAAAAGCATGTACACTATCAGCATAGGAGCACGCTTACAACCGGTACAGGACCAAATTGTAAATGAACCCCTAAGCCATCGCAAACATGCATAAGCGTGGCAACCGATAATAAATTGACAATAATTCACTTTCGAAACGTAACGACTTTTTAAGGGTCAAAGGTAGTTTAAATACGACGGAGGTACATCGCGCGTATTAAGCAGTGTTACTTTAAAGGACTTTAAAGAGTCCGATAACGAGAATAAGTGGTAGACGTCATTTAGGTTCTTGCAAACGACTCTGAGCGGATTGAACAGCTCATAATTAAATTTACACTGGTTAAGCTTAACCAAGATAAAGTGCCTAGAGAAGCGGTTAGGGACATTAAAGTTAATTTCACCAAGTAATGAAGGCGAGTCAATAGCACCATTTATTACTTTAATTAGAAAGGAAACGCCAAGAACAAATCTATGTTTCTCAAGAGACGGTAGGGATAGCAGAAGCAACCTATTTTCATACGGAGGAAAAGAGGCAATCGGATCCCAACCCAAATTTCTAAGGGCAAACAGCAAGAATTGCTTTTGAACAGATTCAATTGAATCTACGTAGCACCTATATGAAGGAGACCACACAACAGAGGCGTACTCGAGTATGGGTCTAACCAAACACATGTACAGCCTTTTCGTAACGTAGGGATCATCAAGCTCTTTCATAGTCTTTATAACATAGAAATAAAAAGAACGAATAACAAAATTATATTAGATCGTAATTAAATCTTTTGAATCCATAAGCGTGATCCTAAAAAAAGAAAAAGAACTAAATTTTCATGTTCAGCGAGGCGAGGTAGACTTTTTCTATTTTCATAATAAAAGTGGAAATATATACGTTGCATGAGTTTAAGTTTATGAGTAATAAGCAAAAAACATGGAAAACAAAAGTTTTAGCGGTTTATCTTACATAGACGTGGGAGCTTTGTAGGTGGGAGAAGTTTGAGTAATTTTTAAATTATTTTGTAAGATTGTAGGCGATATCTTTATTTTTGCGAACGGTAGAATGCTTGCCACGACTACTAGACAGCTGCGCAGGCGGACTTGCTTGGGACATTCCGTATTTGAAACTGGCCAAGAATTTATATAGTTTTTGTGGTTGTTCATCCTCAAAGAAGTGCGCGTTATAAAAGTTTTGAAAAGAAAATGAAATTATGAGACTATAAAACACGTCCTTCGACCGATTTGGGCAATTTTGAAAATTAAACTCTGTGCAAGAACTTTTAATGTTTCTACCAAATTTGAAGACGATAGATCCATTTTTGCGGCCAGGACATTGTTTACAACAGTTATTAGACAGATGGACCGATGGCCATGGTTAAATATACCCAGAATTTGATGCTGATCAGGAATATATATACTTTGTATGGTTGTCGAAGCCTCCTACCAGGCGTTGCGAACGATTTGACAAAATGAATAGACTCGTTACCCTTCGCTGCTGTATACGGAAAGAAAAAGTAACCAACACTCAAAACTTCAACTCGCGTTTGGATAGCAATGCATTGTATTTGAAATTATCGCTATAAATATATCGATATAAATAAATTCAAAAAGAGAATGCACTTACCAGGTCCATCGTATGCATTAATGCAATCTGATGTACGAAATTGTGAAACCAAAGCTTGTTTACCGACTCCGGCTGCACCCAACATTTCGACACAATACACGTCAACAACTGGCTGTTGTTGCTCCTGCTGCTGTTCGTGCGAATTAACATCGATGTCTGTACAACCAGCTAAAGCACCCACTCGTGGATGTATGGGACTGACAGGCGCTAAACTATTACTGCGTGAACGACGGCGTCGAAAAGAATCACCGCGATTTATAATGCCTGCAAAATTAAAGATAACACATACAGATTTGCCATAGTATCCAAAAACCTAAGTATATTTATCCAAAGTGATGTACCTACATCTAAAGAAGACAAGCATACATAGCAAGTGAACAAAAAATAAGAAAGTTGTCGTTTTATTGACACAAATGTTACTTTATCCATCAGCTAAGAAAAAAAAAAGAAGAAAAAAGTGTGGAAGTCTTCATTAACAGCGAGCAGAGTGGCGATTTGTCATTGAACAATATTCTTCAAAATATTTGCATAGCTTTCGTTGATATATACGTAACTTAAGACTTTTAGGTATTGTGGGTATTCTGAAGCAATTATCTGCGTATTAGTTTTCTTAAGAATTACTACCGCAAACAGGCGTGAGTGGGACTGAGCGGTATGAACAAATTGAATGTTGCGTTAGAGCGCCTAATATCCATTACAAACGTGTATATGATATTTAATTACAAATATGGAATGAAGATCCATTCTTCACTCCACCTCCTTCGCTCTATTTTTGACATCTATGATCTTCTTAATAATCGTGGGTAAACCTCTAACCCGAGTTTTTTGATTTTCATCGTTAACCTCAACAAGAATGATAAGGAAATATTTGAGTTTAAATATTAGGTAATTGTAAAAATTCATGAATTTTTCCTTAACCAAATGTTTTAGATCATGTAACTTTGGTAATCGCAAAAATGGTAATTTCACCATACTACAGAGGATTCAATAAGTGATAATCCATAGATAATTAAAAAAAACAAAAACATTGCCAAATTTTCGATGAAATTTCGGACAAGCCGATAACGTTTTGTCGGCTTGGGAAGGATTTCGTGCTATTTAGAATGAAGGTGCTTTATCAAAATCAGCATCGGGAGCAAATCGTTTGCTGGTTTCCGCTTTGAAAATTTTAACGATGTAATCTTTCACAAAGTTCATGAAATTCTTTTAAAAAACTCGGGAAAATTGACGAATTTTATCTTTCGGAGTTGACATCACTGCTAAATTAATTAGTAATAAAAGGTTGGTCTATCTCAAGTCGTTATATTCATTCGCACAAACTTAAAAGACCCTGTATCCTGTACCGCAACATAGCATGAAAAAAATGTGTTTGATTTTTTGAATGAAATTATGCATTCTGATATAATGATTGACAGTGCAAAGTAACAACGTTTTATTTTTCTACTTTGTTCATTTCCTTTCTAAAAGGTTTCATTTCTTATCGCGCATTTAGTCTTAATATATGCAATAAAACGCGTTTTGTTTGATGCCAAACCATAGTCTTCCCTTAAAAATTTCTTTACTTTCTTTCAGTCAACACTCCTTGTCAGATTTTAACAAAACACACCTTTCTAACTCTGCCTTGCGACTAATTGTACAGTAAAGAATTTATTGCGGAGTATTTCTATTTTTCATTTACTTTCTTTATAGTTGCCGTAGCACAAACGTTTGGCATAAACCGTTCACTGTTTTCTGTAATTTTTTCTAATGATACTCACCAGTGAACGTTGTAGTACAGTCCTATATTATGTTTGCAACATATATGAGTCCGTTCTCAATAAATGGATGATTGAGGTAACTTTAAAGGAACATTTAAATTTCAATATATCTTAATGGATAGTTTAGAAATTATGATGTTGATCCGTTTTTTTCACTCACATAAGTTCTTTGCAAGAAAAGATGGTAATTAATAGAAAATTCACTTAAAATTCTAGCTTATTTCAAGCCGTTGATTTGACATCTAGGAGGAAAAGTGTGTTTTCCAGAGTATTAGCCATCGAGCTTATCAAGTGTATCAAATATTTGTAAATCTTAGAACTATATATCACACCCCACGCTGATTATAAGATTCCTTTATCAAGGAAATCCCAGGTCAGCCACGTTTAAAGTCCAAGGCCACCCAAAGTTAAAGTTTAAATGTTTAAAGGCGTGCAGACATATATTTCTGTGTGACCGGTAGAGAGCAGTGTATTTTGGTAAAAATCGTTTAATGGTGTATTTACACTTACATGGCATCTTTCGTTTACATGAGCTTGTAAAGCTAAACAGAAACAGACAGCTCATGAGCGTTCCACCTAAGCCCTATAGAAATTTTTGTTGTTCTTTTTTTTCCAATTTTTTATAAATTGATGTATTTTCATAACTGTTATGATTCTTTTGTGAGTATGTTTTTGCTTTTAGTGCGCTAAAGGTTTTCCACAATTTTATTAAAACGAAGAACAGATACTTCCGTGGTTCCTCATATTTTTTTTTTTTGCTAGAATGTGTTACCAACGGAATTGTGTAATTATTTGCAGTTTCGCTTGAAAGATTAATATCTCGTTGAGCAGAAAACTATAATAATAAATAAATAAGATAATTATAACATAGCACAAGCTATCATAAAACGAACCTATGACAACGTCATTACCTGTTGTAAGATTATTTCCGAGTTTCTTTTGGCTATTGGCCTTTTGCTTGTTTCAAGATAAATACAAAGGCCATTAGTGCAGCGACCGAGCTTATTATTACCAATAATTTCATCCTATTTTATTTCGGGCGCGTTTGATAGAGCTGTTTTACTTGTCGAAATAAATCTGTATTCGCAAATATTCAGAGCTTATTATTTACCAATTCGTATGTAAATAATTTGAAATTTTTATTAACATTCATACGTCTAAGCCAGCGGAGAGATAACTTCAGGAATTTAATATGTGCTTTTGTCGAGTAAACTTATCCATAGGAAATCCATTGGTCTAAGAGTTATAAGCAAGTGACAACTTACGTTTCCCTGTTTGCACGACCAGCCTGCATCACTTAGAGCGACTAGACTTAAGTTTTCGTATGGTCCAAATACTCCTCCTACCCCTTGTGGAATCCGGTTTTAGGATTGTGAGCAGTACGCCACTTTTGCATTTTTCCCCTTCGCCTTTGGATTATTTATACATGCTGAAGTGCCATCCCAGTTTTCCCGCAGGGATTTCAAATATGACCCAGTAACATCAGGCATCCAATTACGCCGTTATCTCTTTGCCTCTCCAATAGCTTTGCAGACCTGTGTTATATCTTCACCCACCACAGTAACTAATTTCGAGATAAGGAAGTGGAGATAAGGAAGTCTCAACAAGTAGCGCTTCATTTAGAAATAAGTCCATAAAGTGATTTCCACCTATGAGCAATCCGGGAATGTTTCACTTTAACAATATATGAACACTATTACTACTAGCTTGCGCCCATTATCCGAGTCAGCGATGCTTGCAAAACCAATGGCCGAGACTGGAGCAGTCTATGAAAAATTTTGCTTCAAAATTGAAAATACTTGACGTATAGTTGCTTCTTCTGCAATTCAGCATATCAATAACGGAAGATTCACTTCATTACGCAAAAAAAGCTCAATGTGAACACGAATTTCTTTGTTTGAACTTGAATAAGGTAATTAATAAAGTAACTTTTTTGTTTATGCTGCAAATGTGCTTATGAAATATTTTTTTTGTCGGTTCTCAACAGATCGTTCTACATAATATTAGCTTGGCGAAAAAGAAATCCATTATTTTTATATGAACTTCAGGACTTTATTTAACATGCTTCGGATTGTCCGATTTGGGTCAAATACGCACCGTTGGTATGGCGGATGCATTAAAACTTCCCAACCAAGCTCCCGAAGTTTCTGGCGAGTCACTGTAGATGTGTGTGGCAAAGCGTTGTCCTGGTGGAACACGACACCTCTCCTGTTGGCCAATTCTGGCCATTTCTGGTCAATCGCTATCTTCAGGCGGTCCAGTTGTTGACAGTAGAGATCAGAATTTAGCGTTTGGCCATATGGAAGCAACTCATAATAAATAATCCCCTTCCAGTACCACCAAATGCATAGCAAAACCTTCCTGGCAGTTTGAGGTGCTTCACCGCTCTTTGACCACGATCGTTTTCGCACAGGGTTATCGTATGTGATCCATTTCTCATCTCCAGTCACCATCCGTTTAAGAAATGGGTCTATCTCATTCCGTTTGGCCAAGGCTTCGCAGATGGAAATTCGATCCATCATGTTTTTTTCTGTTAATTGGTGTGGCACCCAAACATCGAGCTTCTTTTTGAATCCAGCTTTGTGTAAATGGTTTAAAACTGTTTTATGGTCGAGTTTTAGCTCCTGGGCGATGTTACGACTGCTAACATGCCGGTCAACTTCGATCATTTCTCCGATTTTATCGACATTTTCGACGACCGGCCTACCTGTGCGAGGTGCACCTTTAACATCAAAAATTCCGCCTGGCTTGCATTTTCGCCTTTGTCAAAGAAAAACTGTCAAATGTACCGAATTTTCTCTTTGTTCACTTCCATTTTTAACACGCTGTAACTCACAACTGAATGCACCAAACAAAAAGCAGCAAAAGAATTTTTTTTACTGCGAAATGTCACCTTTCCAACGAGCATAAATCTGAAATTGTTTGATCGATACTTTACGAGAAATCTATCAGTGCAGCCATCTACCGAAAAAATAATGGATTTCTTTTTCCCCAAACTAATATAAGAAGCTAACTTTACATCAATTAATTTTTTGCAAATCTTACAACTCAAGTGAGGAAAACAAAGCTTCTTTAATATTGAACACGTTGTAACAATTTATCAAAGCAAACTGTAATAACTGCTGCACGTAAATATTCTTGGAATTTTCTTTCGATTTGTAGAGTTGTGAATGTTCAATGGCTCAGAATCAACTTAGAAACGTAATAAAGGGAAATATTTCATTTTTACTGCAACATTTCATTTTAAAACTTTAAGGTTATATTTATTAAATCATAGAAGCATAATGTACATGTTATCAGTAAAATATTACATTGTTTCATAAATATGTTTCGTGTGCGTTTAGTTCGGACTTTTTTCTGAAGTTTTTCTACAACAGAATAAAATACACTTTTCACTATAAAAATAATTTTATGGCGATTAGTTCGATGTACCTGGTGGTTACAGAGGGGGAATTGGGGGCAGGCAGAATGAGCATTTTATAAAAATTGTTGTGATACAATTGAAATGGGACATACAACGCCATGAATACTGAGAAAAACTTTTCATTAGCATCGGTTTCATTGGAATATTTGCAAAGAATTTAACAAGCTTGCCATAAATAAGTTAAAATTTATAAAATTTATATTTTTTACAAAAAATATTGAAAATAATAAGTAAACAAAATTAAAAACCCTACTCTGCGCCGTGGTTGCTCAATAAACACCTTAGTCTACCTTATAGTTATCCATTCAACGACTTTTTTAAATTAGGCATTATTGGCGAAGTGGTCAAAAAAGTGATTCGATCCGAAGCATTTTGAACAGCACAAAAAATGCGACGTTTAAGTGGATTCAGCGAGTGATTCTGAACTTGTGGGTAAATATGTTCGACCACCCCACAGTTATTCATACAACGATTTCTCAAGATAAGACGTTATATGGGAAGTGCTTGGAAAAATTGTCCCACCGGAACCATTTGCAATGGCATATGTTCTTCGAAAGAAACATTTGATAAAAATATCTCAAAAATGGCGACCTGTGACATGAAAAAACAAGAAGGACAACCGGACGGACAAACTAAGTTCGATTCAGAAAATAATTGCGAATCGATCAGTATAATAAAAGATGGGTGTATCCCAAGCTCTTCTGGTTGCTGCACACATTTGTAAAAGTTTAATATACCTTTGTACCAGAACTGATGGTGGAGTGTATAAAGTTCATTCAAATTTAATATATTAATATTTAATGTTTATTTTGATGAAAATTATGTTAAATATTTTTATTTATTTCTTTAAGTACAAATTTTTTATAAGCTCACCTCCTTTGGAGGCACTAAATGTCCTCAGACGATCCAGATCCTCGTCATCACCGACACGTAAATGATGTACATTCGAGGTGGGTACATCTAGAAATGCATTTGATTTGCGATGCGCTGTAAGCGAAAAGTGAAAAATTATTAATTAAAAATTCTGTTTTTTGTATTTTTATTATTTTCGTTTAAATGCTTTGCTAAAAAGCTACGAGCGAAATGAATTTTATCCAAGAAACGAAATAATAGTGTCACGCATAGGCTAGAGAAACTAAAAATAATGTCTAAAAAGATATACTCGAGCTTGAAACGGCTCTTCGATTCCCACGATGTACGAAAATTGCCTAATTGTTTGTGAATTGTTTGTGCATATCTTTGAATTGATTCTAGTAAATATACTGGTTATAAACTACAAATTCCGGTCGCAAGTTATTAAAGAAAGCATATTTAAAATATATAGGGAGACGTTGTGAAAGGATCACTCTTCTTCTTATATATTAAGCTCCCCGACTTTTAGATAAGCTGCACATCGGCTCATAATCTAATGGCGACCAAGCATTTTCTCCGATTTTGGCAAAAGAAAGAGTAATAGGTACACGGATCTTTAAGTCAGCGAACAGATTGGCGGACGAGTGAACATGAATTTCAAATCGATCGAATTTTTTGTTTTGTTTTTATAATATAATAAAAACAAAGTAGCGTCAGCTCGCGTTAAAATGAACGAAGGTGCGACTAACAGATGGACAAAAGTCGTTTCATTAAACCGCAACCTACCGTTGATTAAAACTGTCTATTGTATGGTTAAATGGGCCCTCCCGAACTTTATACTTCTATTTAATAGGTTTTACTTATAAGCCTTCGACGAACAGATTGTCCAAAAACTATATTAATTAATGAAGCGCTTGCTTTCATGAGAGTTTTTATATAGGTTTCAGTCTAAAAAATAGATTTATGTATCCAAATTCGTTATGGTTGATTTAGTAAGGACAAATTTTCACGATAATATGTTAAAAACTAGGCCTGAAATGAAAAGTGGATGTGCAGCGACAATTCCAAGCATAAAAAGTCATGGGTCAGTCCATAAATTCCATAAAGTTTTGCGGTGCAATAGTTGAGATCGGTAAGCTGTAGTGTATTGCGAGCTGCTTAAAACCAAATGAAGCTGTTACTGTAAACTTCTATCGACATCAATTGAATAAATTGACTAATGTATTGTTGCACAAAAGAACGGCGATACCGTCAAGGATATACTATTGCAAATAGAATGTGAAGTTCTGCCACACCCAGCGTATTCATGAGGCACAGTACCTTCTGAGTACAGTTTGCTTTTATCGATGAAGCGTGGCTTGGCTGGCACACGATTCGAAATGTTGTTGAAACTCGAAAATATGTCCATGATTGGATCGCTGTCAAGCCAAGATAAGTTCTTTCGACATGGTGTAGCCATGTTGCCAGAAAGATGGATAAAAAATGTATAAAATGGTGGAAAGTATTTTAATTAATATGTATTGTATCAATTTTTCTCAATAAATGCCTTTTTCAAGCGAAAAAATGATCAAAATACAGGCAGGCATCTATGTATATTATTTGATCGAAGCACTTCCCGTATCTTCTTCCGGAAGGGTATTTTCTTTTTTCTTGCTAATAATTAAATACTTTATTAAGCTTATAACCTCCGAAATTGGAGTGGGCCAATCTTTCTTTTCCTTAGTGTTATGGCGGAGTTAATTTAATTTGCAAGGGAATGACTTCAATTCTATTATTGTGCCATCAACACGTAAATAAAATTAATTGAAATATTTACTTGAAAAGCGTGATAATGATTGACTTTCATTTCTTTGAGTCTCTCGCATTTGTATAAAACAACAGCAAAATAACTTACGGTAATATTTCAGACGTTAGTTTTCGTGAATTTGACCTATTTTTAGTTAAATCAATACTTACTTTAAAAAATGAAAGAAAAAAAAATCAATAAATGTATGTCGACAGCATCTCACTACAGTGACTTAGTCAATACACGTACACTGGTTTCTACATATCCATGTAAATGTCTATATGTGGTGCTGTAAATGTTTTAATAAATCAATCAATCAATATTCCTTCATTATCACATGTGTTAAAACAAGTTAATTGAAAAGTCTCATTCACTTTTCCAACTGACGCTAAAACAAATGTCAATTCAGTATCCATCTACAGCTGTCAACGTATGATTTTTTTCAAGTATTAGTTAATCTTTAGTTTATCTTATTATTTCTGTTTCTTCTGTATAAATGTGACTACAACTAGTGGTAACTTTAACGTTCAATGAACTGCAATTGTGACATTCAAATGCTTGTGTATTTACTTACGCTCCTATATAACGCAAATCATTCCATAGGATTGTTATTGTTACCTAGAAACTTTTCACAAATTTCAGTTTTCCAAGTAAACCGCTTTTAATTTAAAATGTTTGAAGCTATAATTTTATTTTCAAACAAGAGAGATAATTATATGTATATCTGGGCTAATCCTGAGTTAGAGAAAGTCAACATGCATTTGTTAGTTTAACTAAATTGCTGATGATTTTCTCCATAAAAGTTTTAGGACAACTGCAATTATTTAACGTCACTGTCGATAGAATATTTATGGCGTGTGAACGATGTTTTAGCAAAAATGTAGAAAAATTTATTGTTTATACGCATTAATAGTGGAGCTTAGTGGAGCGTAAACGAATTCAAATTTTTTCGAGTATTTGTTCTTGATTAACAACTGTGAGCTGTGACTTATATAAAAAAAGCTTAAAAAAGTTAAAGTTATATAGAAAATAATTGAAATTTTTAAAATTTGTCAACAAAATTCGCTCTGCGATAGTATCTTCTCATTCTAAATTGGTATGAAAAATTTGATTTGGCTGGGAAAAGTTATTGAATCCTCTTTCGTATAACGGTTTCTACGAAACCTAAATCTTTATAAGACAAAGAAGTGTAATTTTTAATATTTCACCGGCAAAATTAATAAATTGACATAGAAATCTATCTTACTGAACATGGATCACGTAGATCTATTTTTTAGATACATCAGCATTCCTCCAATAAGATGAGCGGCAGCAACTAAGATGGTAGGCTACATTTTTAGAAAACAGAAGCTAGAAAGTTATTAACTACCGCTATTATACAATAATAATAATAATAATCGTTTAAAAAACGAAAAGTCGTTAATTGTTCTACTAAATCTCGACTGCATCTGCTTGAAAGCCCTCCACTTCCGACCAAACGCATTTATGTGATTGTCTTTTGCAATCTTCGAAGCAGTCAGAAATGTCATTTCCTGGGATGAGCTTAACTACTTTCTTGGATTCGCCTTTTACCTCTTTAATCGAGTCGAAGTGCTGTGCCCAGACAAATACGGTTGCGGAATAATATGAATCGAGTTTTTGGCGAAGTGTTCTCGAGACGTTAGTGCTTTCCTGGAAGGTTTTTCAAACAAATCGAGACTTTCAAGCGTTCGAATAATAAATCTTTTAAACTGGTTCGGGTTGATTTAAATGCTTACCGGCATCATCAATTTCTCCAATTGTCAATCGACGACTTTCGCACAACTTTCTGATTTTGATAATGTGTTTTTCAGCGGATGTTGATGGTCGTCCGAAGCGCTGATGGTTGGGAACTCGGTCGATTGAAGTCTTCATTGCATATATAATTTTTTGTGACATAACACCATCACCAAAGTCGTTTTATAACATACTCAACATTTCCGCTGCAGAATATTCGTTCCGTAGACAAATTTAATGCAAAATCTTTGCTTTACACTTTTGTATGTCTACGAAAACACTTTGTAGTAGTTGAATATATTGACACGGAGCTTTATATGGCCGTGTAGTACTACCAGCTCACAAAAAAAAAAAAAAATTTATGATTTCATAATATCCGCAGAGTTTAAATGAAAAACTCATTAGTGAAAAATTAATAATAGTCAATTGAATAAATTAAATATCTTCGGGATATTTGACATTGATATTAGGTTATATAGGTGGTTTCAAGGTGTCTGTAGGGGTAATAGTCCCAATTGTGAATCTTTTAGTATTGGAAAAATTTTGTCAATTAGAAATTTTGTTTTGGAAGATTGAAAAGCGAAGCTGCGTGATATTTTTTTTAGTGGCCTTGAATGACGAAATGGCAAAGAAATGCCCGCAAATAAAGAGGAAAAAATGCTCTTCCACCAAGGAAGTTAAGAAATTTAGTCGAACTTTGTCTAACAGCTGTTGTCGCATTAACGCGAATTTCCTACGATCTTATTAAATGAGGTGTCACATGTTCAATCGTACGATTTTGTCCACAATTTTAAATTGAAAAAGTAAATTCCTGAACAATTCATTGATTTGTTACAAAACTATAATTTCCTCAACTTTGGTGTGACGTAGGCGTGAAACATCGGTCGGTCCCAAAAGAGAATAATGTGCTAGCAGCACTATTGTCCTTTTTATCGTTAATATTCACCTTCACTTTTTTCGGGACATCTTTGCAAATCCATCATTACCATTGCCCTCTCCGTAATTATTGAAGCGACAACCAAGCGTTGCTAGGTAAGCTTAAACACTTAGTATCCTATATTCACATTCGAACTATTGAATATATATTGAGTATATTTGATATAGAATACTTATAGATACTTTTTTGGTACAATTTGTGCAACGAGTCAGCTTCGGTATTTCGCATTTCAATCGGTTTTTACATCATCAATTAGTCATGAGAAACCATTAAGGACGTTGCAATTAATCAGCTGCTTTAATTATTTTAAAGAATTGAAATAATTTTATCTGTTATTGTCTGTTATTTATATATTCTGTCAGCCTCCTTTAGAAGCAAAGATTCATATCTATGAGAGAAGACTTCAAAGCAAAACATCAGATTTTACTTTAGATTTTTAACGGTACTTGTATTCGTTTTTAAATTGTAGGAACTACGTGAATATTTTCCTCCACGGAATTAATATAGTCAAGGGAAAATCATTAATGGTTTGCTTGTAGGTATATGTTTAAAAAAATTGATACCATTTAGCACACGTGTTGTGCTAACGCTTCTTTGTATAAACGCTTTTAACAAAAAGCATATAAAATTTATATTTCGGCAGATCCTTACAAAGAAGCCACTTATGCACGCATCAAAAGATTGTGTGCTTGCGGACAACTGCGTAACACGATGTGTTTTTCACACGGAAGGAGACGTTATTGAATAATAAATTTAACAGAAACTTAAATTTAGTACACACATCATTACACGGTGGACATATGTGCTTTTATCAGCACTTCAAGGAAATTAAATTTTATGCATATAAAGAATCGTACAAATGAGTACTTGAAAAAAATATTATAACTTACTTACAAGCAACACAACCAAGAGTGTATACAAGAGATTGACCGTAATTGAGTTTGCAATTGTGAGGCTTTCATGTTGGCCAAAATTTGCAAACAATAATTGCAGTCGGTTTTTTCCTTTTTTGTTTTTTTTTTTTTTTTAACGAAAATGAAAGAATCCACATAAAGCAACTACAGAGCTTGATTTATATTCTTTATATTGTGGCTGAAGCTTATTTAAAATGCGCTCTGTTTTCCTGTTTAGAGATGAACACTTTTGTTAATCTCCTCCACAAAGAATTAATTACATATTTACATACTTTTTTTACTTTTAATGGTCCTTAAGGTTCAAGTAAAGTAGTAGGGCTATAAGTAGAGCATGTGACTTCATGTGACTTGCAATGGGAACAAATGCTCTTATTTCTCCGCGTGGTACCAACGCGTACAAGAATTAGATTTTGCTTATTTACATCAATCCTTTGAACACTTGTGTATGACTTAGTCATCTGGTCCTTTCGTTGTCGTATACCGCACGCGAACCGCTCATTCACCACTTACATTGGTTGTTCATGCGGTAGGACATTTGTTCGCCGTTTTGCTTCTCAGCTCATCAACAGACTAGCCACAGAGCACCCATAGATCTCGTCTACAGGCTACTCATTGCGCAACTATGTCTTAGTCACATTGCTCCTTATTGCGTCCATAAGCCCGCTCTTTGTGTCTTCAACTATCAAAAAGTCTTTGCCGGCTGAGCATTCTTGCGTCAATCCATCTACCCTTTCATATGTCAGCCTTGAAGTCTGTTCATTCGTTGGACGATCTATCGCGCTCGTCCTGTTCGTCCATCCATCGATGTTTCTTTGCATCGTGTTTTTTTGATTCAGTTCATTTGCCAATCTATTCGTTTACAAATCTAGCCATGTGTTGCTTTGTTTCGTCAGTCCTTCTGCCCATCTGCCAAGCCAATACAATCAACACGTCCGTCACTTCTTGCGAGCATAAGTTAATGTCTTCCGGTTAATCTATGAATTTGTCTTTGACGCAGTCGTAATGGATATGAGATCATCTATAAGTCTAGTAAGACTCAAAAAACTACATAAGCATTCTTTAAAGATCGACTAAAGTTTCGATCGGCGTACATATTTAAAAAAAAATACTCAAATCTTTTAACAATTAATTCTTCTCGAAAAATAAATCCCGTTCTCTATTAAATTCCAAAGAAAATCTATTAAAAGAGCATAATTCGGTCATTATAATGCTAAAAACTATCCGAATCTAAAAATTTCGTTAAACTTCTCTTAACAACTTACAAGCGTTTTATTGTGGTTGCTGCGAACTAATTTGTTCAATAAATTGCCAGAGATGATTAGAAATTTTGAAGGCATCGTGGCCGGTGATGAGAAATTTTTGCTTTCGCACATCTTGTAAAGGTGATGAGTATCCAAGAATCGGTGCCTGAATGATGCCTTCTTATTTTTTTTTTTAAATAAATATCTCACTCAATTTTATTATTAGAACTTGATTGCTTTACATAAAAAATGTTCTGCTAAATTAAGTTAGAGATTAAAAACCAGACTTTGTCCACTTTTTTTTTGCTTTTTTTGTGTCGCTGCTATGCCGAACACCATCTGAGTTGTTGAATCGCATTTTTATTATGCAATAAAAAAACTGTACTTTTATCGAAGCGTACAGTAACGAAAATGTGATGAGATCACTAAGTTTATTAAATAATTCAATCTTTTTTTATTACTCAAGAGCAATTTTCTTGGCTTTCACGTTTACATCGCCACGTAAATACTTGCTGGTAGCGAAAAACTCATTAACCTTACAGAGAAACGATACAGTTGTGTTATGCACTATTTCAGAGTGAGTATACCATAAGAAAGAATTTGTGATAAGCTTGGGTCGACACTGTTAACGACTACCACTAACTCCTTAAAATTTAGATGCATTCAAGAGTCAACTTTGTACCCTAATTTTCGAAACCGCCCGCATCATGAAAACGTTAGAACGGAAGAGAGACAGTTAGGATGCATGGACCTGTATGACTTAAAATCTTACATCGATTGAAAATATTTATATATCTTACAAACGGAGTTATAAACCAGAAAGAACTAATTACCGTGAGAGATATTAGAAAGAGTGAGAAGGAGACAAGGGAGGTATAAGTCAGAGCCCAGTGGTGAGTATTAATAGTTTTAGCCCAAGCTTAAGATAATTTATTTCTTGTTTGTATTGATAAACTTGATACTGAAGTGCGTTAATTACTTGCCTATGCCTTCCTGTGTATATATGTATACGTAAATGTATTGTAAATATTGATTTAAACTTACGGTGCTGCTGTGGTCTTCTCTGTGATAGTTTGCGCCTTTGTGGCGGTGTTTCCGTTTCGCTAAGCCTGGGTTCGCTTGTGCAATACGACCGTGACTCTTGTAGATTTTGTTGCTGATGCATGTGTGTTCGTCTTCGCACCTGAAAAAATTCGCCAAATATACTTTCAGCCTCTGTATGTGTACATATACATACATGCACACACACTTATATATATATATTTATTACATACTTATTTATATATATTCATATATATTATATATATATGAATATTTTATATATATGTATATATAAAAACATATATATATATATATAAATATACATATATACGTATGTAAATTGAGTGTAATAGCTCTGAGTTTTATTGTTCTTGTTGTTCCTGCTGCGTAAAACACTTTCATTGTAACATTTTCAATCAGCGATGGATTAAAACAATTTTGTGTTTTTCATATCTGTAACAAACAGAGCAAAAAACCTCTGAAAATCTAGCCATAAAAAAAAAATATTAAAAATAATAATAAAGAAGAGAAACAGTTCTGAACAATAGTTGGAAGCATTAAAAGCGTTTACAGGCAACGAAATTGAATGACATTTTCAGTATGACTTAATCGTTTCATCAAATAATGTCAGTTAAGCTGATTAACACAAACAAATACACAATGATCATATTACATTTATTGGTCACCAATTAAAAGGAAATTACCTTGACAAGTACCTTTGATGTTCCTTTTCCTTTTGTTCGTTACGTTCAACTTTGCTGGCGAAGTGTAAAGTTAATTTAAGGTAAGCTAGGTTAGGTTAGGTAGGGTTGCCTGAACCGTACATACCAGTATTAATTCACATGCTATTTATATTATGGCCCGTGAATATGAATCCCTCGGTTATTTACCTAAAGCTACTAACTAACTCTTACATTGCGATGTTATGAACTATTGTTGACATGTTGCTGGTTTGTGTTCTATGTGCGACGATTTTGTACACATGCATGAAAGTGTTACGTATATATAAATGTAAGTACTTACGCCCGTCACCACGCATACATTGTGGTTTGCAGATATTGTACCTATTGGTGAAGACGGTAAATTTATTGCTCTTGCCATTATGCTTGGAACGTAAAAGTTGAGTGGAATAGAGTATGTATACTTTTATGTACATGTATATACTTCCTTGATAATCAACGTTAAATTCTAAAGATGTATGTAACGGTCTGTTCGTTTCTTTATCAAATTCCTAAATTGAAATGTAGAAAGTCGACAAAGGATCTACGTTTTTATATGTGCATCCGGATATAACTATGTTGTCAGCCGACATTCTTAATCAACGGAATTCAATTGCATCCGTCCGATGTGAAATTTGATTGATTTGCTTATCTTTGCAAGCGAAGAAACAAAGAAAATTTCAAACGAAAAATACCTGCGAAGACTCGATTAGCTTAGGTTTGGGTTATATCCGATCGTAACAATTTTGTGTCGAGCGAAATCAATTAAAGCTTTGCTTTGAGAGGCATCAATCGCTGGCCAATTATAATAGAATGGGATCTGAAATTCCGGGGGACCTAAAGTTTCCTATACCTACCCTTATTCAGCTGCCTAAGTTTGAGGTTACGTCCAACCATAAGAATTTTATGCTGATCAAAGTCAAAAATTAAAGCTTTGCTATGAGAGATATGAATCGCTGGTCGTACTTTTACTTTTCTGGTTGCATATGGTTGAGGTTATGCCCGATCTGTAGTGTGAGTTGTCAATGTCGCGCGCAGCCGATTAAAGTCTTCAGTTTTATGTCCATATACCTCCGCTAATTAGATTGTATTGAACATAATAATTATAGGAATCATTTCCGACACAAATTTTCATTTACGTCATTGCACTAAGCGTATATTTCTTACGAATGTTTGCATAGTCCGGTTTTGAAACGATTTCTATAGGCAAGATTTTAAGAAGGCAAGAGAACTTAGAAATCTTAAATGAACTTCCAAAACAGAAAATACTATTGAAGAGTCTGTTCCTCAAAGCAAGTCATTATTGTACATATTTAATTTTGACTCAGTTTAAAAGAAATTTGCCCTTGAAGTCTATTTTAATATAAAAAGCGGAATGCTCCATACGATATGGTGTTTAAAATTTGGTAGAAAAAGTCAAATCCAAAGGTAAGGCAGTGTTAGAAATGCCAGGCTGTATAAATTGTACCGTTATGTTTGGAAATAAGTGGAGAAGGGTAGAAAAGGTAGGAAGAGATCGTAGCCTAGTGGATGTATGTCCAATCGATAAGCGTTGTGCCTTTACCAACTGAGCAGTCATCGTAGCTGCGACCTGGTATGTTCACCACAATGCCATTTAAAGTTACTTGAAATTTGGGTTTTTAAAGTTATTCAAAAAGAAAAAAATAATGGAATTCCTATCTTGCGTTAGAGAATGTTGAACCATGAGGATGAGTAAATCCTGAAACCATGCAATGTCTTGTCAAATAGGAATTTCGGTTCAAGATAGAATATTAAAACCAACTGCCAGAATATGGTATCTTTTTTCGCAAATTTCACTGCTTAACACGTTTCTTAGAAGGCCGCCGAATCCAGAACGTACTGAAATAAATTGAGTTGCACCGACATTCAGGTATTTAAATACCCGCCACTTAACTTTGGCAAATTATTTCAAAAAAAAGTTGCTGCAACGCAAGGGCAATGTACGAGTGCTAAGTCATCTCATTGAAAAAATTATCGATTTGAGTTTTCATCTGCAAAAAGATGTATGTTTCACTCCTGGTTGATTCGTTGTTTAGTTAAAAGCCTTGGGATACCTACACTAGCCATTCTGATTATAAGTGCAGAGGAAATAAAGTTTATAAGGCGGAACAGAGAGCACACTGAGGTGCGAGAAATTCATGAGGTGTTTTTCGCTTTGGAAAGTCGTTCGACTGCACGATAGCTTTATGCAATGTATGACCGCCGCGGTGGATTCGAGTATGTTGTATTGAAAGTCCCAGCGATTGCATCTAGTAATTTAAGGTGAGACGTATGCATTCTTGAAGACAAAATGAGATTTTCGCTTGAAGATCTTAATTAATATTAGGTGAAGAATATAGAAACTAACTTAACACCGTAACTTCTTAACACATATAGAACTCCCTGATATGTTAGCAAACATACGTTAAGGAGAAAGTTCGTGGCGCTTTAAACAACAAGTTTCTTTTTTTTGTATATCAATAGCTATTGAGCAGATGTACGCTGTACGTCGAGGTACACGGGTAATCAGTGCGGATTACAGACAAAATTATGGGCCAACGACCCATACAAAATTATGGAACACTGTAAAAGGGCGCTGTACATTTGGTTTTGTTTCATAATGCTTCAGAGATTATATATTCTCTATATATTCTTGATCAGGATGAAATTCTGAATTGATTTACCTATGTATATCCGTCGCTGCGTCTGCGTGGTGTTTGTTGTTCGCACTCTCCTGTTCGCAAAAATGAAAATGCCGACTTCAAATTTGGTGTCAGCGTTGGAAGTGTTTGCACGCAGGTTGGAAGTGAAAATGGGCCAAATTAGCCGGAGCAGAAACCCGCTATGTAGCATAAACAGAATACAGCTTCGCTTCGGCTGAAATTTTCCACATTTACCTTGCTGTTTACGTGCAAAAAAGGGGAAAAATCGGCTATGCTCACACAAAGTTACAAGTGATTGAATTTTCTTTTTCTCACTTTTATGCTTATTTATCATAAAGCAAACAAGACAGAAAGTTTAAAACTATTTTGTATAATCCTCAACTGAAGATGTATTATCTGCCTAAAAATGAGTTGATTCTAAAGTTAATAGACACCGCGACCTGGGCACTCATGGCATTGGCTTTGCGTGGCCTTTCGTTGAATTTCAGATATCATAATTAGTTTCGTGACTATTTTATCTAATTCAAGCAATGAAATCTTTGTGTAAAATAAATAATTATTCTTTGATAAGATTGTGATGCGGCAACCGCATCTTTTAGATACCGTATACTGCATTTGTTTTTCGTTATTATATAAATGGAATTCATATACTTGCACGTACATGTGTATGGAATTTAAAATAGAATACCCATTCGTACATCTTTGTTAAAAAGAATGTCGGAAATTGCTCTTTGCATAGTACCCTGCAGGCAAATAAAGTAAAGAGAAGAGAAAAAATTCTCTCTCTTGTTTTTCCTAATCATTAAGAATGTTTTTCCCGTTATCAACCATAAGAACAAAGAAAAATCGCAATGAAGCAATTTTAAACATTGTGCCTTTAGAAGGTGAAAGGGAACCGAAACAAACACTCAATTGTATGCAGGTAAATACAAGAGAGGATTGCGTAGTTAAAATTTATGATGTTGATTTTAAATTAAATTTATATAATGAATATATATGTATATATATACAAACGAGTGAAGATATAGAAAAATAATAATAGTTGTCGCTAACGTTACTAAAACAATGATGATAAGAACGACAGCTGCCAGAAAAACAGAAGGCAAACGGTAAGAAAACTTTTTATAACGGAAATCTAGATCAAATATCCTTAGATTGGTCGTGTAATTCTATAAGAAAAGGATACGGACAAGTTGTGATTTCTCCCAGGTGGAAAATATTCTAGTAACAAGACCATAGGCGAAATGCGTAACGAAAAGTAAAACATTTTAATTTACTTACAATAAAATGCTAGGCAAAAGAGTTTTGAGAACGTTAATCAGTTAAGGTGTAGAGTTATCTTGTAAGCACAAGAGAATAGAGGTTGTTTTTTTGAATTTAATTACGAGAGACCAATCAATACGTAATGGAAGAAATCTTTTTGCATCTCTTAAACTATTTAGAAAAAACCTTCTGTTGATATTACCCTCCACCACTTGTGGCACAGGGTATATTAAATTTGTGCGGACGTATGTAACATGAAGAAGCGCTTAAGCCCTTTATTACGCCGATCAAACAATTTGGTGTAATTTTCCATGCTTCATGCTGAAAATCAAATCATTACAGTAATGCCTATTTTAAGATCCTAAACTATATAAAGATTTCTAAGCAAATTTTTATTTTTAGGGCAGAGAAGCTTAAGTTTTAATATGTTACGACGAATTTTGATCCAGAATAATAATTTGATATAAAAATTAACTCTACAAACTTTGGACGACGTAAGCCAATTTTGGGTCCTACTGTATATAAAGATTTGCGCGAAAATTTTTGTTTTTTATGCCCGAAAAGCTTAAGTAAAGAAAGAAAGTTTTCATTCGCAATTTTCCATAATAGGGAGTTCATATAAAAAAATCGTACAATTTTTGTGCTCTATGGCAAAATATCACTTAGACAGTGTGGTATGTAAAATTCGGTCTACATTGTTTCCACTTGTCTTTTATGAGCAAATTGCCGGCATAGTGGCTTTGGCGCGCACCTTTTGTTTTTTCTGTAACATCCCACGTTCCTATGGATACCCACTTTTTATATATAATTAAAATCATTCTTGAAAAACTTTTCAATATCTATACAGAGCGAAAGTTTATTATAAAGATATCGCTTAAAATATCCTAAAAATTGCATCCTATAGGCTGAACACAAAAAAACAATGATGACGGGCGGGCAGATGGACAGACAACTCAGAAAAAGATTCTGAGTCGATTGATATAATAAAAAATAGGTTTATTTTCAGTCTTTCTGGGTGTACCATACATCCGCGCAAATTTAATATATCCTCATATCAAACTTAATATATACCGGAAGTGATTCAACACTTGAAAGAATATTTGCATAAGATTTGGATCTTTTTTTCACGTACGCAAGTACGTTCAGCTATTTACATGCATTTATCACGTCGAGAATGATGTAACAAGGGAACCGTGCAAACTGAAATTGTGTAATAATGAAATCCGGTAAAACTGCAATCGTGTAAAACTAACACTCAATATATATGAAACCGCAATAAGCAAAACCGATACAAAATCCAAATTAAAACTCAATGGTTCCAAAACGTAGTCTTGCAAAACGAATGCGCGTCTGAAGAAACTTCGCCGTAATGATAGTTGAAAGTTAAAAGACTATTCCTTTCTTCTGCGATGACTTTTTAATATTCGATATTCGACTAATCGTAGTTTGTAATTAAAACATATAATTGAATTGTAAGTTACAGCGTAAAAACAGAAAGATTTATAAAAAATTTCAATACACTTACCTTGTGTTATGTAATATGTATTGTGCACAGCAGTTGATTTAATTCGCTCTGTTAGGTTTTACTTACCGATCTATTGGCTGTGGCTGTTATTCTGGCACTCTGGGAACGTGTTGCTGGTCTACGACGTCTATAGCTGGGCGTGCCTGCGTTTTCGGGCGTGTTACTACCCGATGGCATAGTATGCAAAGCATTCTCTAGACTACCACTGGTTGCACATATCGAAGCGCTGCGTGTTTTCTTCTGCATCCGCATTGCGATTGTATCGTCGGCCATGTTACAATTTTTGTATTTAATATTGTTCAAGTTTTTTCAACGCTTTATCAATGCAATGCCCAACGCACTCACACTATATGTATATATATATATATATATATATATATATATACATATGTATATATATATGTAACTGTGCATATAAAAACTCTACAGCGTTTTTAACTACTAGAAATTTTCTACTCAAGCATATAGCGTCTGCCGATTTGCATTTATATCAAATTCAATCAATCTACAAAATAATGAAAAATGAAGAAAAGAAAAAAGTTGAAGATGAAAATCAGTAAAAAAAGCAGCTTTTTGTTTGCAAATAATTCTTGTGGTTTTTTTTCCCTCTTTTTTTGTGATTATTTTTAGAAGCATGATTATTTTCAAAAACTAAAAATCACATATAAGCAAGTTTTCTTAAACAATAAAATAATTTTTTATTTTATTTTCATTTTGATTTTCTTTTTTATTTTTATTTGTGTTTGGTTTGCTTTTGTTTCAATTTTATTTAAAATGCACTGTCACATGCCAAGCAAAAACCGTATGTGAGACATTACAAAATATGAAAGTTTTTTTTTTTTTAATTTTAACGCCAAAGTGTTGGTTTTTAAAATAGTCACATATGCTATGCAATAAATAAATAATAAACATATCAAACTAGGTCACCCCCACTTGTGAGTATGTAATGCAAATAAACCAACGAACAAACATTATGGTTGAAAGTGTTAAAGAAAGTATAAAAATACTTTAAGATGAAAAAATGTTAGAGAAAAAAATCGTAAAAATAAAGACAATAAAAAAAAAAACCAATTCAAATCAGTGGTTTTTTTTTTTGGGATGCATTTGATTTTTATATCCATCATTAAAAGATGAGAGATATATATATTTTGTGAAAACGTTCACAGCGCCCAGAAGGAAGCTTCTGAGATCCCACAAAGTATATATATTCTTGATCAGCATCAAATTCTAAAACGATTTAACCATATCTGTCTGTCCGTCTATGTAATATCTGTTGTAAACATCCTTCTGGGAGCAAAATGATAGATAATTATTTAAGCAAGCAAAATAATAAAAATCCCTGAAAAGCACGCAAAAGTTTGATTTTCATAATTCATATATATATGTATTATCTACTAGCTATGCGTATAGCTTTAGGGATAGTTTATTTAGTTTACTTTGAAAAATTCATAATTTTGAGGTCAAAAGCAATACTACGTAAAGCTAAGGACGGATATTATTTGACTCCTTTAGAAGAGGTGTGTGTCGCAAGTATTAAGTAATTTTTTATAACTTTTGTTTACTCCTACATCGTACATCACGGCGAAAGTAATGTAATTTTGGTAAGATTAACCTTAAGAAGATACGAACCATTTTAAATCTTTTAATGAAAATGATCTTAAGTAAATGCGTCTTTAAGCTAAGTCAATATTCTAAGAGAATTTCTTATGTTTTTCGGCATTGAGTTAACTTCTCGTACACAAGTAAAGAAATGCTTAGGAATTGTGATGAGGTTATTTTTCCTCCTTTTCCGAAGGATGTCGCACGCAACTCGTTTTCCGTTTTTCCACTTTTGATATCTGTATGTTGAATACGCACAGAGTTCTGATCAACCAATCGTTTTTAAAGGCCAAAGAAATCAAATTCTTATATTAAATATGTGCCACTCTCTGATCGATTAATCGCTGATAAATTCAACAAAATTTTTTAAGAGAAATTGAGAAGGATCGACGCATGTAGTCTTGGTACATCGGTAAATGATAGAAACATTGCATAAACGCTAACAAAGTCCGTGTTGACGCCGGGTAAGGTATTTCTTTGTGTTGGAAACAATTGGAAAGGAACCGTGCACTATGAGGCTCTCCAACTAAACTACGCGATTTATAGCATTCTTTACTTTGAGAATAAGCATATTCGTTTTCATTTGTTTTGCATGTATTGTGCCGCTTTAAGAATAAGCATATATTCGTTCTCATTTGTTTTGCATTTTACTGTCTGCAACTAATAAGATTAAAGTGTGCTGCAGAACTAAAGTGTCCCTCCATCAACTATGATGACAATTCTAAACCTCACACATCCTCAATGAATGAAGAAAATTGAAAAAGTTTGAGTGAAAAGTTTAGATAAACTATGGCACACTGCGCAGTTGGCAGTTGTAAAGTTGACTTTAAAAGAGGCCTATAAAATATGTATTATATAGTGTATATTATGTGTTATTTATTATTATTGATCTAACCAGAGAATAATTTCAAAGACTGAGGTCTAAAAGTGCTAGTATCAAAGGCTAACGGCTTTATTGATAGCTCTACGGCACTTGAGATTTGAACCCATGACAATTGAGTTGTTGGTCGAGACTATCTCCCTACCCAGCCGCTCAGGCGGATGATGTTATATATTATATATTACGTTATATTGAATCAATTTTAATTGGTTGGTTCTTTGCCCTAAGAAATTTCTCGTGGCATCTCCTAAGTAACATTACCAACATAGCATTTACTCTCACTGGAGGAATGTCGATTTATGTTGATTATTTTATTCTTGAAAGAGTTGATAAATGGGGTTAACGACAGCGCAAGTCTTGAAATCAACTTCAATGCCTCAGTTAATTTCGTAAGAAGCTATTAGCTAATAAAATTAAGCCACCCTAGCTTCAATTAGGAACAAACAGGCTTAGATCGATTCGCAAAGTGATTCATCATCATTCCATTATCGAGATAAGGAAAGGCAGATCTATCTAAATTCGGACATACGTCCGCACAAACTTAATATACCCCATACCGCAATTGGTTTAGGGTACAAATGGACAAAGAGATATTATAGCGCGGGTATTTTAAAAAAATAGTATTAACCTGTATACAACAAGTTGTATAATATACATCCTCATGTTGTATAATATATACCATATGCTCTCAATTCTCTGAATGCATATTCCTAATCAAGGAATCGTATTAAATGTTACATTCGAATATCGTTACTACTAATTAACGGATCACTGATTTAATATATTTTCAGGATCAATAGTACTTGAGTCACAACCGATGTAGAAACCAAGTTAAACTGAACGAAATGTTTATAAAGAAGTCATGATATAAATACATCTCTTATGCAAAAAAAAAAGAAACTAAATTAAAAGATTTAAAAATACAAATTAACAGCTAAGAAAATTATATTCGGGTCGAGCTGAGGGTCTTATACCCGCCACCTTTTCTATTTTAAAAAAACTTGAACCAAAGCAAATTTTTATATTTTATAACATTGTGTGTACTGCTTTTGCCTTTTTGTACCGGTACTGCAGCATTGCCTGTTCAAGTAACAAATTTTATTATTATAGTTTTTGAGAAATGAATAATAAAATAAATTTTTTCTGCTTCTTTTAGAACAGGTTTTCTCAGTTTAAGTTGAATTGTGAGCGTGCTTTTTAACCGATTAGGTTCACTCTCAACAGCAAATGATATGGGACAACTTACAATTTTTATGCCAGATTTGAAGCCAATGTCTTCACTTTTGCAATCAGAAGTATCCGTATCACAGCCAGTGCATAAAAGGGCAGATAGACATGCTTGAATCAGTAGACAATTTGATCAAAATAAAAATGCTCTATAGGATGAAGCATCCTTGGGGACGCCGCAAATGTTTCGTCAAAATGAATAGACCACTTCGATGGCGGCGGGTATAAAACTACATTGAAGAATTAAAGAATTTTTGGTTTTTTGTCTTTTTTTGCAAATTTAAATGAATAAATTTCATTTGTAGTTATTAATCGATGTTTTTTCCTTAGATTACATTTAAAAGTTATAAACTTAACGAGCTTAAACGAACTTTTCATTTTATTGCTTTGCATGTTTCAATATTTTGGCAAACTTTCCACTTCAGTTATATTAATGGAAATGTAATGTACGAACGTTTTTATGTCTAACATTGGCATATTACTTTCGCAGTTTTATTCGTGGCAGTCGCAGAAGCTTAAAAACGTTTCTAATTACTATACATTATATGTATGCCTTTTGTAGGTGTCAATCCTTCTTTTTATTTAATAGTTCGCGTTACTGTCCGTTAAACTGTTCTTGTACGCATTGTTAGTCGTACTATTGGCGTGAGCCTGTCGTTCTATTAGCCAGCAACCTCATAAACATTTCTGCATTGTACATTCCACTAGCTGCGCTTCTGTCCGTCTAATTAACACCCTCTTTATCGCCTTCCTTTTGTTCGCTCTTATCTTCTTTTAAGTGTCTACCCATTATCCCCTGCTTTGCTGTAATTTTGAAAGTTCTAAAAATCGTTAAAATTTGTTGATCTGCAGAGATCAAAGAAATAAATTCTCCCACAATAACTTCTGCATAACTTCCCATTAAAAGAGTGAATCAAACTGGAAGAAAAGAGGAAAATTTAAAGCTTTTCCATAAATCAGGAGTTAAGGTAAAAACAGGTGGAAACACTGACTCCCGCCCTACCATTAAATACCGGTAAATCCTTGGGAGGTGGTTACCCTGTTATATGCCAAGGGTTTCAATAGATTGTCCCATGCGTTCCAAGTTCTTCACATCAACTTAGAATGCTAAAATACTATTAATCAGCGATTTTTCGCAAAATTCGGAAAATTATAATATTTTTCCATGTGACGACTTTACAACGCAACTCATTATCCGGGAAGGGCTCGGTCCAAAATAAATTAAACAGCTTTCTTTCTTAGACCAAAAGAAGTGGGTTTAAAAAACGTCATCAAAATATCTCAAAACTTGAGACCTGCAGATTGAACGCAAGAATGCAAGACGAACAGATAAACAGACTACCTTGAATGTATTCCGAGACTGCTTCTGGATTGACCGGTCTATCTCAAAACCTTCCGAACTTGATGTATACAGTCGTACAGTCTGAACGTGCGCTTATATAGTAAAGCACTGCCAATCTCATACTAGATTCGTAGCGGTATATGTTTGATTAGTTCATGCAAGGGGCGTCTGAAGGTTGTACTGTTGGCTTCATTTTAAAGATCACATCGAATCATGGAATAGCTTGGACCACCTGATTGCTTTGACAGATGGACTGAAAGTTTATGCAAAGCCTTTAAAGGCAATTATTATGTACGCATAGCTACGCTTATACTTCTTGCCCCTCGTATATTTATTTATTTATGTATTTTTAAGAATTTTCTCAATTGGTCGGTATTATGAAAAGTTTCATTAAATCGTAAAAGCTCACTTTAGTGGCAAACTGCAGTAAAATATAATACATATGAAACAAATGAGC